AGAGGAGGGGTACAGTACAATGGAACAGGCTGGCCAGAGAGGTGGGGGAGTCTCCATCTTTGGAGATCTGCAGCTGCCTGCTCAGGGTCCTACACAACTTGCTCTAGGTGACTCTGCTTGAGCAGGAGGGTTGCACTAGGTGATCTGCAGAGGTCCCCGCTGACATCAACCTTTCTGTGCTTCTGTGAATCTTGCACCATATTTCAGCTCTCGTAACTTCTCTCATATTGCCGTGGTCCCATTTCTTTATTACAGTCATTCTGTGCTAGATCTTATTTATACCTCCTTCATTCTATTTGTCTCTGGGACATGTGAAATGCTTTTATTGCACTTCCAGCTGGAGAAGTCTCTTGGAGGTATTGTGTAAAGAAGTCAGCAAAGGCTACTAAAAAAGTACAACCAGCAGTGACACTGCTGTACGTGGAAGGCAAGATTTTTTCTTCAGATAGACTTTGCTGCTGCTACTTGGAAATGTGTTTGGAGAAGTCTTTCCTTGAACTCAGTGTGATTAAGAAAACACTAGGATTTGATCCCGGGCCCTCCTATGCCATTCTTCTGCGTGCTGAGGTATCCCGCTGCTCTCATGCAAGGTGCACACTGCTGTTCCCACTGTGCCCCGGTGTTTGCTTTCATCCCGCCTTCCTTGTTCCCTCCAGTCTTTCAGTACTGTTCATATTTGCTCCAGTTTTGCAGCCTTGATTTCTAAACCTCTTTATCCTCTCCACTGAGAATTCTAGACAGGTCATCTTCTGTCATTTTCCCTAAAGCTTTTGTGAGTTGCTGAATTAAATTAGGATGACCATTTTTAAAACCTTACTTTCTGGGGCAAAATAGAGCAGTGTGTTGCCACAAAAAGCTTATAGGATTTATGGATTTCCTTAAAGAAGGAAATGGAGGAGAGGCTGATGGCAGGTGCTGACAGTCTCTCTGGACCACATTAAGGAGTTTATTATCACAAAAATCATATGCTATTTAATGAAGAATAAAATGAAGCCAAAAGCAACTGGTGACTTGAGCTATCTACCCAACAGTCTGGTCCTTAGGTCCTATAGCATTAGAATGATGAAAAGATTATTCTCAGATTAAGAAGAGTTAGCTAAATGCATAACTGCATTGGACCTGCAAAGCAGTTGAAAGAATAAAGTACTTAAGGTCAGAAGATTCTTGAAGAACTATACAAACAAATAACAAGGTGTGACTGCATTTCAGATAAATATATGTATATTAATGGAATCTTGATAAAAGTAGGAAATAAATCTTTAACTTATTATAACTAACCAAATAGAGGAAAAAGGTACAGGTATTTACATCTGTAAATAAAAGGAAATATGAAGAAGGGAAGACTATTACATAATTGTGTAGAACAATTCAGAGATATTCAGCAAAAACAAGTACCCCTTAGAAAACCCTAGTAAAGCCAGTAAAAAAAAAAGTAAAAAATACCATTTCTGGACAAAAAAAAAAAAGAAAAGAAAAAGGATAGATGTGATTTTGAAGACTTAACAATAAATAATCATTTATTTTGGTTCACTGAAAGCTGAGATCCTGTGAAAGATTCAGTAGCTGGACTGCTAACAACAACAACAACAAAAGTTTTCCAGGAGGATAGATGCAAAGAAATTTGCACATGTCTCCACAGTTTTCACTATAGAGCATGCTACAGTGACATTCTGCTACCTCTTATCTTGCAATTGCTTTGACAGTCCTGTGCAATGAGAGCCCGGAAGGATAGGATGTGAATTAACCAAAGTTCTGTGCATTGTGAGACAGCAACGTTTCCATTCAGGTGCTGCGAAATACATGCCTGAATTACTAATAAAAGTATGTTGCTCAAATTAAAAGCAGGGCTGATGCTGGATCAGTGCATGGTAATTCTTCATTTCACCTTTTCTCAGGAGGTTGGATATTGTTTATTAGGGTTTCTGTTCTCATAAAATCTTTTGGCCTATGGTTTTGAGGAAAATCAACTGCATTTGAACAAGAGACCTATGCAAGATAGCTCATAACTCCGATCTCCTGCTCAGAGGAGCAGGACCTCTCTAGCGGCAATAATAATTATAAACCCTATTCAGTGTATTTCTTCAGCTGTAGTTCTTGGAGCTCTTATTTTATGCAAAAACTCAGCCTTCACTTATTGCTGTTTTAAACAACATGATAGAGAAAAACATGGAGATGTGATTCTGGCTGCCCCCTAAAATCTGAGAATAATGAAAGAAAAAAAAATAGTAGGTCATTTCTATTATTTTTGAAGGCCTGGAGGATTGTCAGTTTGTGACTTCTGAATATTTATAATCCAGAACATTCATATCAGTGTGATACTGACTCAGGTACACAGTGGTGAAACAGATGTTCACATCCTTAGCAGTTTAATTCTATATTTAAACAGGTGTTGCACCAGCTACAGTTCCTCTGCTTTTCTTACTCGCAATAACACGGTAGCTACAGCCCTGGGTTGACCTTCCTTCGGGCAGTCAAAAGAGAAGGAAGCCCAGGACCCCAGGGAAGTCACTGGCTCCTCAAAGCCTGGCCAGAGCTCCCTGGCTTAGAGAGCCTTGCCAGGTTTCAAACTGTAGTAGCTCCCTGACTAGTTTCTCATTTTGCCTCACTGGAAAGCAGTTTATTCGGTTAGTAGAAGCAGGGAAAAATCCACCTCTTCTGTAATTCATCTGTTGAAATAAATCTGTCTTTGTACCAGAAGATATAATGTCTTTAAAAAACAGTGTAGGCATGGTCCTTGGAATTGGAGATTAATGGGCCTTACTTCAGTACCAAGAATTTGGGTTTAAAACTTGGGCTTTTGTGTTTGATAGAAACCTCTGTTTATTCCTGTTTTTCTGGTTATGGTGCTGTTCTGTTTTGTTTATAGCTGTCAGACAAATTGCCTGAATTCCTGAAAAAGAACAATGTGCTCTTGATTGTACTTCTGTGAGCCTCTCTGAGGTCAGAAAGTAGGAAGTGGAAGCAAGAAGCTTGGTGCTCTCCCTTCAGGAGCTACAGGAGGCAAGAAATGCTGCAAGGTTTTGCGTAGAAGTGCCCCTTTTCTGCTGCCTTTGGCACCTATTTTTAGTGCGTATATATATGTATGCATCCATATATATATTTAATGGTTCGTTGTAATTTTCTGTAAGAGATAAAGAGTCTACCAGCAACCACTACCTGGCCCATGAAGGTAGGAGGGCTGCGTTGGAGAATGGTTGTGCAGAAGGTTTTTAGGCCAGTTATATAACCAGTTCATGGCAAAGGCAACAGCTGCTGTAGGGATCTTTGGCTAAGTGTCCTACTGGTCAACCAGTGGTTGCCCCAGTCATTAATTTAATAGATAGCTGTATCTAATATGAAATCTCAAGAATAGCAATTGGAAACCACCACATTTTTGTAGAAAATAGGAAGATTTTTAGATCATCGTTGCTATGTTGCTGTGGCTGGGAAGTTATGCTATGGTGATGGTGAATGGAGAAGATCTTTGCCCCTCAACATCTCTCAGTTGTCTGTTTTCATTGGTTAGGTGCAGACCTACGAGTCAGAATTACTGCCTGCCATGGCTTCTGTGCTGGAGGCAAAGGCAGAATTGATGATTCCAGTAAGATCTCTCCTCTCCTGGTGTTAGAGAGGTCATGCTTGCTAGGGACAGGTCCCAACAGCTACAGCAAAGTATCTAGCAAAATCAAGAAGTTAGTGTTATTGCCCTGTGCTTGAACTGCAAAGCAGAAAACTGGGATATGGCAGATGTAGTGGAGCAGGTTAGCATCTCCCAGAGCCTGAACTCCTCTTTTTTTTTTCCTCCATATAAGGCTGAATCTTGTCTCCTGGGAATCTTTAGTATTTTAAAGGAAGATGTTGAGCTGATGATGTTTTACCTTTTCAAAACGTACAGAAATCTAAGATGTTTGATTTCATTGTGTTAATTTTTGTTCAGAGGTTCATAGACAACCTTTGCTACTGATTAGTGTCATCTATAAGCTGCAGAAGGGAAGATTCTAATTTATTTAAAAAAAAACTATCAAAATTCTGTAATATTCTTGTTCCAAGCATTGCCAGAGGATGGGCAGGATATCTTCCAGCTTCTACAGTTAGCTCACATAGTTAAAGGTCATCGTTGGCAATGAACACACCATGGAATGCTCTTTATATTGCAACACCATGGAATAATCTTTATACTGCAATATTGGGCTGATAGACTTGGGCCCAGCAGAGCAGGAAGGAGGAAGGATGCTTCCCTGTTCGGTGCCTTGAAGGTTAAATGGGCCATCCCCTATTATCCTGGTTAAGAAAATGAGGTGCGAGGTTCACAGAGAGAAATTGAATTTATTTTCTGCAAATAATATCCAAAGCAAGTTGCTCATTCAAGTTTCGTTCTCTGTCCATTGGGATTTGGGGTCATTGTGACATATCCCTCTCTGCCAGCAGTCACTCGTCAGGTATGTGATACTGGGCACAACTTTTCACCAGCTGGGCTGCTAAAGCTGTGCCTATTATTTACATATTGCTCTTCTTTAATTAGAGAAGCTGGTTTGCAGTGTTTGCAACTGCTAGAGAGAAATGTGATAATCCAGTTTAAGGGCAACTCAACCCAAAGCCCCCTCAGAGGAAATAGGGCCTCTCTGGGACACTCTTGCAAGACGTAGCCAGACATTGGCTATAGGAAAAAAAAATTCTAATAACATGGAGAAATTCCTTGGCAGGAAATTATCCAGTTTCACATATTTCAAAGTGCCACCAGAGTTGTGGTGTTCCCGAATTGCCCAGATCAGCCCGTGTCACTGGGGAGGAGCTGTCTGAGCCGACTTTGGTGCTCTGGGCATTAATGGACAGCCACAGGGTGCTTGGTTTAGACGCAGTCCGGGCAGGTAGCAGTGCCCGAGGTGGGTGCTCCAGGAGGCGGCCGGACCCCGAGAGGGTTAAGTCCTCCTGCGCATTGCTGAGTGGGTGGCGGGCTGGGCTCCTCCCTCGCTCGCACTGACACAGCAGCTGCTCTCTGCAGCCCTGTTTGTGCCTGCGCATCCAAGACTCTCCAGGCATCCTGCACAGCGGCTGCTGCTTCCATGGGCCACTCGCCCCAGGACAGTATGGTACGTGTACATTCCTTCTGCTGCCTCGAGGGACCAGCCTTGGGCTCCAAGGCTTTAAACAGGCTATAGAGGTTGTTGGTAGCTTTGGAGCAAACAAGCCCTTAACACTGTTTGCAGGGGGTGGGGGGTGGGATTGAGACTGACAGTGCTGACCTCATTCTTGGTCTAATGCTGTTTTTTCTGTGAAGAAATCTCATCAGCCAGGGTCAGATCTGGTAGATCTGGCTGCACTTGGCTTGTGGAGCTGGTGCTCTTGTCCAGCACTCCCTGGTTTCCTGGGATGAGCTGCAGCGTTTACTCTGCCCTGCTACAGGAAGGGTAGAGGGGAGTCTCTGCAGAGCAGATATGTTTTTTCCTTCATTGCAATCTAATCCTCCTGGAGTCAGAGAAGTGATTGGTGAGCGGTTGAGGGAAGATGGCTAGCGGCAAGAGGGCAAGGTGGCTGCAGATGGAGCTGAATTTTGTGATCTATGAAGACCTTGTCCTTGCTCAGCTGCTCTTGTCCTATACACAGGAACAGAGACTGAATTCCCTGGCTGCTCAGCTGTTTACCACACTTGTGTTGTTAGCTGAAACGCAGAAAAGGATGTGTTAACATGGTGTAGAGAAGAATATGGAGACGTTCTGCCTGTCATGGACTTAAGGAGTGCTGAAGTGTTGTCATTTATGTTGTTATGGTCTTGCATGAAGGCAGTTTGATACTGAAGCAGAGGTGAGGTGGCAAAAGGCATCTCAGAGGCACTGCCTTGGAGCAAGGCTCAGGGAAAGCCAGTATTAAGGTCTGTATCACTGTCCAGCTCAGCGCTGATGCTGCAATGAGACTAAAGCCAGGCAGGAGGGGGAGGGTTGTTAAGGTGGAATGCCATGTTGTCAGTGAGATAAAGGGAGATAAAGGACCCCTTCTGACATGTCTCTCTTCTGTGATGCTGCACACCTACACATGAGCAGCAGAAGTCCCGAAGCAGCTGGAGTCTGGCTTGGAACTGCTTAGCACTATATTCCCCCACTAGAGGAAGCCAAAAAAACATCTGCTTTCACCTGGGGAGGAAAAATGGAAGATTCTTGTGAAATGTGAGTGATGCTGCTGCCTTTCTAGGCAGCAGAGCAGGAGAAGTGACCAAGTTGGGAAATGATTTTGGTCCTGCTGGGTGCAGTGAGGCGTTCAGTTCTTACAAATGACAAGAGAGGAGTGCTTCCTTTCCGCAGCAGTTTTCCTTTGTCATCCCTCTCCCCGCTCTGCTCCCATGTCGCACAACAGGGTTCGGGCCAACTCCTCCCTTTGTGCCTCGCTCTGCTGCATCGCTGGTGCCACCGTGTGCTGCTGACCCACCACAGTCCACTGGTGCACAAGAGTCTAGTTTCTTGGGGTGTCTTTGGTTTCCTTTAGTGTTGCTGCTAGCAAACATCTTGTTAAAAGCTAATCTGTATGCTAATGTTAAAATGGGCTGGAGTATTCCGAAATAGGGCCATTCCCTGTAGTGTCCAGGGCTAGGGGAACTGGAGCAGGCACTGGTGTGTTGCAGTTCGGGCTGCAACTGTTAATATTGCTCTGAGACTGCTATAGGGACAGGAGGGAGGAGAGGGAGACACTGAGAGCAGTCTGTGGTGACACCAACAAAAGCCTTCTTACTGGCGATGGGGAGAGGGGCCGCCCTGGCTGGGACACAGTGACACGTCCTCGGGGGGAGCGTGGAGGGGAGGAGCGCGGCTGCTGCGTGCTCGCACACGCGGCGCGCGCACACACTGCGGCAAATTCTGCAGCTGGTGCCTGCTGCCTTCAGACTGCAGAAAACATGAGCTCCAGTTTAAACTCTCTGATCTCCAAAACGAGGCTGTTTCTATTCCAAGCAGCTCCAGTCCTGGTATGAAATGCCCTGGGGGCCTGGCGCTTTGCAGAGCGACAGAGATTGCTCCTCTTCGATGGGTCTGGGGACCCTCAGCTGCACAGAGTCTGCCCACCCTCTCCGCTGCCTGCCAACTGGGTACACCCAGGCTGCATGTCTGTCCTTGCATTTCCTCCAGCAGAACCTGCTGTGCACAGGCAAAGAACCATTTTTGATCCCCTTTTCCTTCGACAAGACACATCTGGGCCTGAATACACAGCCCCCAGAAGATGCTGCTTTTGGCCAGATGGCTAGCACTGTTGCTATGTGCGCTATCACAGGCTCTCCACTAGTAGCTTATGGGCAGGGAAGAGAGGAGCAGGCCCTCAGGAGATGCTATGAGAAGCCAAAGGAGAGAAGATTGCCTGGTGGGCACAGAGGAACTTTGCAATATGTTGCAAAGAAAAGGTGCATCTGCTCGCTATGAAGTGTCTGTTAGGTGAAAATACTGGGAAGGGAGGGGGAAGGGTAGTATCACTTGACTGATGGGTAGTCTGTGTTTATGGTAGGAAAAAGGGTAATGTGTGTGTGTGTGTGTGTTAATCCTTAGAAATTATTCTAAGGAAGATTTAGAGCATGGAAAAAGATGATTCTCTCTCCCCTCACCCCACCGTGTGGACAATGAATTGGTTACAATCCACGTCATTCTGGACTCCAGAAGAAGTCTTGTTGCTTTTAGGAGGAAATAATATGGGAAATATTGAGCTATTTTGGGTCTAACTTCTAAGTTTGTGTTCTCTTTTTCTGCCTCCCCTTAGAGATGCTTGATTGAATTATGTGGATTGCTCCTACAAGTGCATATACTTTGTCCTGGGGGAGAAAACTTTCCTTCTGCTAAAGAGGTGTTTCTTTTGTCCTGAGAGGGAAGATTTTTGTCATCCAAGGACTTCAAATCAGAATTTTTAGCTTGTTTTCCCAGGAAAATGATTGGCCATTCTGTCTGTTTACCACTCTAATAACTCTTGAATCCATCATGTAATTTGAAACCCCCTTGAAATACGGAAAGTGTTAAAGGTAACAAGTTTCTACAGGGTTTATTAAAACTGGTGGGAAGCAGAGCGATCTATCTCAGTGCCTCCCTTGGGACAGTGTGTGTTGTTTGGCCTGCCATCTGGGCAGTCACCAGCATGCACCAGTCACGTAACAAACATTGTCTCTGAGTCTGCTGCCACTTGACCGACTGGTAGTTATGACTCATTAGAGAATCTGAGGATATTGCAGTGGATTGCAGAGAAGTCCTGCATCAATTCCTTGGCTAATTAAACAACTTAGTTCTTTATCCATCTCTTCAGCAAATTCCTGTCCTTCCTAGGCTTTATTCATGGATGAACCTGAGCATTGGTGTCCTTGCCAAGCAAGTTGTCAGTTTTTCCAGAATTGGCCTTTAAGTCTTGCTGGACCCTTCTCCCAAATAGAACATTACAGAGTGGATTTTTTTTTAAGGTGAATACAATTCCAATTGACTTCTATCTTCCTGAAAGAAGGAATTCCAATTCTGTGTTTTGAAACAAATGAGTGAGCTTTTCCTTGGTTTTGAAAATAATGCCTTGGATATCTTCTCTGCGAGGAGGAAGGTTAGTAATCTCAAGCAGGAGGAGGCATGTAAGCCACAGAGTGGGGAGGATATCTGTTATCAGCATGTCCTGCTGAGTAACCTGTGTGTTGCACTATTGCTGCTTTTCATGAGCCTTCTTGTGAAGCACCAAAATCTCTTGCAATTTACCTCTCTCAGTGGCGGGGATTCACAGCCAGACCAGGTTCATTGTGTTCTCTGGGGCTATGGCTTTCCACAGTGCAATAAAACGTTTGTAAACTTATTTTATCTTTTGAGCTTCTGGAGAAGAAGTTGCAAGAGGAGGAAGATTGACCTGTAGTCACCAGTCACCGCATGTGAAAATTTATGTTTCTTTAGGATGAACCAAAGGTGAAAATAAATCATGGAACTTAGGCAGATCGAGCCTGTGTCAGACCCCTCCTCCAGTGGGGTAGGCTGAGCCACTTTTGACTCTCCGGGGATGTCAGCTAAGTGTCTCAAGCATCTGTGCTTTAATAAATGGTTGCTATTGAGTATGTTCACAGAGTACCTGACCTGAAAGTCTCGTAACCTTGGAGAGTCCCTTCCTGTCTCAGGGATACTGCAATGGTAAGAAAACAGAAATGCCAGCTGCAGGAAGCAAGCAGCAAAGCTACAGCCTTAGTTCCCTCCAGGAGGCTTGTCCAGAAGTGCTGTACCACTGCATAGTGGGCGGGCATTTGCTAACTTCAGCTATTTCAGTAGTGCCTTGAGAGAACTCCTTTTGGTTCTTTCCAGTGAATAGATCAAGACCGTGTAGACTTAGTGGTGTTCTTCACAATATACTGTAAGTATTAATAGGTTGTGATAAAAATTGCATAGCACTGTAACTGGGAGGTCTGGATCATTTGTTTCCTCTGCTAACTTTGATATTTAAGAGATTTTGCCCAAATTTTTCACTTGCTGTAGCTGATCTTCTATTTTGCTAGGATCCCAACCAGCTCATCTCTACTGTTCTCTGTTAACTTCCAGTGCAGAGTCCTGAAATAATGCAGGAGAAAGCTAGAGTAAAAAGGCCATCAGTATCTCCATTTTGAATGCAGCTTGAGGAATGTCAGTATGTCATAAGGCACTCATGGTACTAATATCTTGGAGAAAAAGTGGGAAAGAAAGCAGTGATTTTCTTTTTGGTTGGCTAGGTTTATGTCACATAAACTAAAATGGCATGAGAGGTGAGTTGCAGTACTTGTGCAGAAATGCAAATTCTACCCAGGCCTTGTAAGAAAGAAATTGCTTCAAACAAATATGATTCCGTGGTGAGAAAACAGTGGGCAGGATGGTTCTTAGTGGTTTTGATCTATGCAGAGTCTTTTTGAAGAACCAACTTGCACAATGCAGATTTTGGCCCAATTCCCAACTGTTAGATATGCTTTGCCTGGGAATTTGAATTGTTAGAGGGTTTCTTTCCTGTTCTTGGCCCATATTGAAAAGCAAAGGTGATGAGAATCAGCAGAGTGGGATGTGTGGGGTTATGGAAAGGTTCAGCATGGCTCCTAGGAAGCTGAATAAGGGAGAACATCTGAGACAAAACTGTTCTTGGTTTT